TCCAATCAAGAAAGCACAAATATCTGCATTGTTAACATTAGAAGCTCAAAACAAAGAAGGAAGGTGTATGGAGCTTGAAGTAAAATAAAGAGAAAGTACAAACCATCGTGTTCGAGTCCGAAGCTTAGCATGTAGAAAGAGATAGAGCGGAAGAAAGCTCTTCCAGCCAGAACTGGTAAAGCCATGAAGGTTGTACTAACAAGAAACATACTCAAAGCAGCTAGAACCAGCAACACTCCAATCCTAAACATAAACCTGAAACATGTTCAAGTTATTAGAGAGTTCTAAATTCTGCACCCAAGTAACTGTGTTACCTTTCATCTCTTTGCTCGTGTGTATCCTCTTCACATGTAGTATCGCTCTGAGATCCATAAAAGCTCACCATACAACCTTCAGCTATGCCAAACGCTAGCCTCACATTATGATTCACACCCTCTCTTCTAAGCAAGAAATCACTCAACTTGAGCCAAGAACTGACAGCAACAACCCACTTGTGAACTATAGGTTTGATGGATTGTTTAACAGAGTTGGCTAACCACATGGGGCAGCATATATAAGCAGCAAGTAAACCAAGCATAAACTCATCCTTGTAGACCCTGCACCATTTATATAACACATTTTTGTTCAAAAATCAAGAAATTAGAAACAGAGTGTGATAAGAGCTTACCCAAATTTGAGAGGAAAAAAGGACTGGCTGATGAAAGTGATTGTCTGTATCGGTAAGTGAAACACAATCACTACCACTGTCCCATGGAAAACAAACGCAAAGAGTAAGGAACGAAGATGCAGTTTGGTGATTTTGTAGTTTGGTTCTGTGACGTCTATGAGGTACCAAAAGGCACGTTTCTGAACAATCTGTCAAACGGAAGAAGAAGAATAAGAGTCTGAGTGAATATGATGATGCGTGAGGATGAAACAATGTTACCTCCTGGATAAGCTTCATGCAAGATAAAGCAACAAGCAAGTACCCTATTCCTATACACCAATGTTTGGCAGCCATGAGTGGATATTCTGAAACAACCTCAAGCCTTTGTGAAACTGTTGCTCCGGTTAGAGGGAACGTGCAGAAGTGTATCCAGCAACCAAGCATCAAAGGCAGAAGGATGGTTTTAAAACACAGTATCAATGCATCTTTAACCGAGAGTGAAAACCATCTGGTTCTGGTTGGAAACGTGTTTCGAATCAGAGTGAAGACACTTTTAAGGTAAGGTAAACAAACTGCGAGTAAAACTATATTCCCAACTGTAATCTCAGATAATTTTTCCATAATCCAACCGTGTGGAAAGAGCACAAAGACAGCTTGGCCAACCAAATATGGTAGCATATAGTCAAGGAAAGACCAAGAGATATTGATGGCAAGAACCTAGAGATAAAGCAAAAGACAAGAACATGTTAACTCAACATACATGGTAATCACCAAAACAGAGTTAAGAGTACTTACAGCAAAAGTGTTGTCATCCAAGAGGAAAAGAAACCTCCTTATGGGTCCAAACTCATCAAGCTGTGTGTTTCGTGGAACAAACGCAAGTGCAAGAGGTCCTCTCATAAACATGTCGTGGAAGAACGGTAACTGAAAGAGCTGATCATGCCACCAATCACAAAGAATCCGCATATACTTCCATAACATCAACAGAATCCTAGTAACACCCTTATGTCTTAGACCATTCGCTATGAGATGCACAGGGCGTAACAGCTCAGGTTCTGTCCTCATAATCTCTTCATAGATTACCCTTATAAGAACGATGCAAGTGATGTCAACCACTATCTCAACGGTGTAAAGAAGACCAAGAAAGATACAGGACAGTTCAAAGGATATCTTGTTCTCAAACTCAGTTTCCATCTCCGCAAGAAGAAAGAACATGGAGTATGAGTGGAAAGTAATCGCCAAGAGCCAAGGAAGGATCAGAGTCATGAAACGAAATGCTCTCAGTAGAAGGCTCATTAAGACCACTTTACATGGAAGTCTCTCTGGGGCGTTGTCGGAATAAACCGGAACGATTGAGTAGCTACGTTTACATATCTCGCAGTGCTTGCGTTTACGACGATTGATCCAGAGAAAGATACAGTCACTGTGGACATACTTGAGAGAGCCACGACATGCACAAGGATGCCTCAACGGATTGTTTGGTCCCTCCGGTGAATGGCAGATCCGGCAAATGTCTACATCTTCGTTTTTCATGTCTGTTACTTCTGTCGGAACAGCTTCTCCGGAACCACCGACTTTCTTTTCTGTCTCCATTAAAGCTACTCTTGTAATTTCTCTCTGTGTGTTTCTGTTCTGCAACTTCGCTTTAGCTGCAAAAGACATGTTTTATATGTTAGAAACGATATAACGCTTATGATTGGTCGTATGACGTATGGTTCTGTTTCTTACTTTTATGTTCTTGACAGCTACAGCCTAGAGTGTTCAGAGTTACAGAGCAGTGAGTTTCTGCGTTGCTTCCTCTGAACCTTCTTACCACGTTAAACCCCAACTTTATATCACATTAACTTTTTTTTTTTCCTTCTTTCCCTTTGAAAGATTAAAGAGATCAAATCATTAAAAACTAAAAAATAAAAGTTTCTATGGAAAATGTAGTAGTGAGAATATTAAATGACTAGAACAGGTCTTTGGTTGATCAAGTGGGTTGTTAAAACAGTTACCTAATATGTGGAGTTTTAATTTCGCGCAGAAGCAAGAAACGTGGTGCACAGGTTTTCCAAAAAAGTAAAAAAAAAACTAAAAGAAGGCAGAGAGTGCGAGAGTGATGGTTTTGTTTTCTTCTACTCGACGGTCGAAAACATTAATAGACTCTCTTTATTATCAAGCCAATACTGAGACAAAAATATGAATACGAGATGTTTGAGAACGTGGCTTACTAGTAACTAGTATTATGCCCCTGCAATGCAGGGACACCTATATTTATCATTATAAAATACTAGATGCATTTTCCGCGCTACGCGCGGATTATATACTTCAAATTATTTATATTTTATTTTTGCCAATTATGTTAACTATTTTTTATTAATTTACTATTTTTAAAAGAATCTTAACTATCCGTAATTTCTAATAATTAGATAATTTAATTTTGTTGAAAAACATGGATTTTTAAAATAGGATGATAATTTATGAGAAAAAAACTATCACCACCATAAAAAGTATATTGAAGTTTTTTTCTATTTATCTTAAATTCTAATTTTTGTCTTTAATTTTTCTTAAAAGCTTTGAATAAGATATATAAGTTTTTTCCTTAAAATGTATCTATTTTTATAGATTGACTAATATAAATCTAGAGTTTTTATGTAAATTTAGAGTTGGTTTGTTTTGTGACATATTTTAGGTGATCATTTAAATACTTCATAATTAGAATATATATATATATATATATATATATATATATTATTTAAAATTCAAATTTGTGAAGAATTCTTTTATTTGTAATTTCATAGAATACTTATTCTAGTATTTTCACAGATGGCTTAATACAATCAAGAACAACATGATACTATAATCTATTATATCAAAGATTTTATAAGACAGTAAGAAAATAACCTTTCGGAATTACATGAAACCTTTGTCTAAGTCCCAAACATTGTTTCCTATTTGGAAGATTTGATAGTAGTGGAAAGACGTTTACAATGACGGGTCCATGGATTATTCGAAGATCTGTCAGCGATGTATTTGAAAGAATACAAATGGTACGTGTCCCATGAATCCAATGATCAGTGATTTTACCCACACACACAAGAAAAGAGAGTCAACTTTAATATGTGTGTTTTATGTTCTTCGTTTGTAGAAGAAATCTACATGGAGATTTATAAAGAAGAAATCTATGATCTTTTAGCTGTTGAGAACCAGAGACTGCAAATTCATGGACATTTGGAGGTGAATAGATCATCTTCACAACTAATATTTCTTCTTTCAGTTTTGTTTAAGAAAATTATTATACACACTTGCTTCTGTTTGATGTACAACTTGGAGTGTTTGTTTCTGGCATTACGGTTTTTCCTATTTTAATATGGTTTTACGGTTACTATACATCTTTGTCATGATATTATTCAATTGTATTTTAGATAACTAAATATCTGTGAGGTTGTGTGTTAGTTAGCTATGCAGACTCCATGTATGATTAGGACATGATCTTTGTATTTGTATGCTACAGTTATAGGACTTACAATGGTTATTGTGTTTGTGGAACTTAATGAAAAAGTTTTAATGTATTATGTTGGTTTTTTCTTCCATTTCCATAAACTTATTACGGTTTACGGTTTGTTAGTTTAGTTTGAAAACCTAACTTTGTATTTACCGTAGAAGATAAAGTGGTTGAATTTTCTTTTTGAAATAGAAAAAGAAGACCATTATTTGCGATATTTTGATGTTCTTCTACGCCTAGGACATCAGAATATCGAACCATGAAGGTAGAAAGACATGCGAGAAAAGTATATTGCCTACTTTAAAAGGATAAAGTTGTACGTAAGGTTTATATATTTCCCTTAATTGCAAAGTTGTTTCGGAAACGACAAACCAACTAAACAAAGACTTTAAATAGCCAAACAAAATATAGATAAACTCACCACGTTAATTGTTGATTCCATAGCTGAACTATCGCTGATTGCTTTTCTGAGAACATTTCTTAGATTATCCAGGTTGATGAGTTATAACGTGAGAGATGGTCTGAGACAGTTCTGAAATACAATATTTAACTGATCCTTGATGATAGCAATAGCTACAAAGTGGTATTTACTGATCAAGTTTATTAATTCTATTATTTGTTAGTGAAATTGTACTTGAAAAATTAATTATGATTTAAAATTACAATTGGTTTCAAATTTAAAATGTACAAATAAATTTTAAATATTTAAGTTTTATGTTAGAGTCGTTTCAATAGGTTACATGTTTATTTCATTATCCTTTGAAACTTTGATTTTGTGTATTTTTGTTTTGTTTTTGAATTTAACTTCTTTTGGGGCTTATACCAATATGTACACTTAATGGATTCTAATGAAAGAGTGGTTTACAAAAAAAAATGGACTTCTTCAATCTACCCCATTGAAACAAATAATATATCGGTAAGAACCAAAAACTTATCAGTTATCTTCCTTTCAATTTGGAAACTCTTTTTTCCACCGTTTAAAATAAGTATACAAACAGAACGCAAAATCCAGAAAATAGTATCTCTCTATTTCTCATCCTCCGATTGTTTCCTTAACTCAGTGCAACTTGGTTTTCAATTAGTTAGTTCAACTTGATTTTCAATTAGTTTTGCTAAGTATTTGAGTTCTAAATATTTTTATACTTCTACATACGCACATACAATATAGACGAATATCTCTGACTCTCCAATAGATTCGTCGAAACTCTATTTTTCCTAAGTACCTCTCTCCGTCTCCAGGAATATGCGAAATTTGAAGATTGTAGCTCAGTTCCAATGCTAAGAGCCTAAGACATTGCCCCAGTGTCAGATCGAAAAGCTTCTCTTCATAGTAAACGTTGAGATTTCTTTGTTGAAAAATCAAACGGGAGAAAGATCCCAAGTTGCATTCCTCCTGTTTCATACGCAAGTGGCACGCATTCGTAAAACCGTAAAAGTAATCTAGGAACCAGCCTTGAGCGATATCACCATCAGGATCCCTGCATGAACCAAAGTTAAACTTGTCGAGTCGTCTCTTTATAACAGAATAAAATTTAGCACAATCTTAACAACATACATAGTAGCCAACCAGAATATTAAATAAAAAACAAAGATGAAAGAAAATTGCAGAGACCTGCACTATTGATAACAAAAATAACAGATGGAGATTACAATTAGCTTTGGTGATAGAAACACCACTCGTCTCTTTTACAAAAACAAAGAGAAGATTCAAAGTGCATGGAGATGACATTAACATGGAGATTAAATTTTCATTCACTAAAAATGCGCACATTGCTATATTGTTCTTTCTTTTACAAATGAAGAGATTCAAAAGTATAACACAAAGAATTTCGTGGACACTGAATTGGAGAAACCAAAAAAAACAATTGAAGAAACCAAGGAGGCAAGGAATCACACCTTTGATAATGTTTCCTCATAAGGGTCTGTGTTAATTTCTCTGTTAGCCACAATCCGCGAAAAAGAGTCAGCAACCAGGAGCGATAATGTTAAGAAACAAAGCAAGCTATAACATTCATTGTGTTACAGAGGGAAAGAGAGAAGGAAACATTACATACACTTGCTTCTGAACAGTTCTTGGTCTCTTCGATGAGTTTTTTTCCCAACAAAGGCTGTGAAAGCTTCTTCGACTTCTTTCCTCAACAAAGAAACATAGAATTCAGTTTCTGCGAAACTTCATCACCACCTCCTTGTTACTACACCTGTTGACGTCAATGATTCCAAGGCGGAGCTTCTGCAATGGCATCATAGCCTCCGTTTATTAAAGTCGATACCTTTGGTTTTGAACGACAAATAAGAGTTTTGGAGAGAAGAGTTCATTATGTTATCTACAAACACAAAATAAAAAGCCATATGAAACAATTAAACTGCATATAAAACTAAAATGACACGGCCAAAGTAATTAAGCTTACTCAAGTGTTTAAACAACTGCAATTAAACTGCATACTCCATTAAGAACGCCGATGCAGTCCTCAGCGTTGGCGTGCCCAATGAAGCAGCACCTGATGTTTAAAATCACATTAATCAAACCAGATTGAAAATGAAGTAGATAAGTAGGAACTTTCTCTTCTCTGTCGAAGATCTCACCTATGAATCTTTTCTCTGTATGTTTCTTAATCTCTAAACCAATCTCTCAGTATCTTTCCTTTTCTCAGGCTCACACAGCGCGTCTACACCATCTCTCAACCATTGTCGATGTTCCATCCACTCCCACGGTCAGACAGCCTGAAACCGTTAGAAACAAAAAAAAAGTAAGTGACACTAAATGAAGGAAGAAGCGTAGGAGTCGAAGTGAACTAATGAGATGCATAGGTTTTAAAAAAGGTAAATAAAAGACGTCCAAAATGAAAGAGAATTATCTAATTGCAAATTTATTAACTACACAGATAATAAAACAGAGCATTAGTGGTATGAAGTTGAACAGAAACTCAAATCTCATAAAGAAGATGATGGCGACTAAATTGGGAAAAATAGTGAACTGCCTTTGATAATTGTAAGAACCCACGAAACAATCACCTGTGGAATTTCCAAAAGCTAAACCCTAAGAAACACCGTTTCATCTTAGTTTAAAGGCATACACAAACTGTAAATTACAGGGTTCCATACTTGAAAAATTTAATAACAATTCTCAGAGTTTATAAGTATGTTAGACAAAAAGCTGAAGCATATACATCTAAACTTGAAAAAGGAACAAAACATGTAAAGTTCTAAACGAAGGTCCTGATGTTTACCTAACCATGTGGCAGAAGTTGGGATCCCCAGCCTCTTTGCCATCTACTCAGCTTCAAAGCTGTATCAAAATAAGATATTGATTATAAGATATAGCAAACCTGGAAACATTTTTACAATATGGATTGTCAAAAAAAAACCAAGTATTAGAAACGTTTGGATTTTGAGAAAGAAATCCTTCGCACTGATTAGATCATCTATTTGGATTTGTGTTTTTAATTTGTACCATGAAGAGAACGCGTATCAACAACGACTCGTCGGAAAAGCCTTTGAGCAGCAACTACTGTCACGCGCTCTCTCCTTGCTCGTACCCTCTTCTTCGATTCAGATCTGGGTGGAGGCTCAGCCTCTCCAGCGTCACCGTCGGTAGGTCTTGAGATCTCCCACCCCTTTTATATATATATCATCACATCATCGAATCCCATCACAAAGACACACGCTTTTAAAAAAAATTGTCCCATACCGAGAAATCAACGGTAGTGTAGTAACAGGAGCAGCGAACTGTCTTCCTCCTCCTCCTCCGCCGCTGCTGTCTGTCTTCTCGATCCCTTCGATGCTTCGTCCAGCCGAAGCTTTATAAGATGAGGAACAGAACCAGCAAAGATCGTATCTGGTTAGTGGAGTTCCAGTTGCAAGATTAAGATGCAAAGAGATAAAGATAAGATGAATCAAAAAAAAAAAATTTGGATGAGAGGAGGCAGAGTCCGGAAAGGATGGGGTGAGAGGAGAGAGACTCGGGAAAAAAAATAAGGGTTTACATCGCAGCCTCTCAGATTAGGCGATGCCGAGATTAATAAAATATTAGGCCCAAAACCAACCAAAAGCCGCGGTGACGTGTACGATTCAAGCATTGTGATTGGTTAAATAAAAAATCAGACGTGGACAGTCTCATTTGGCTTTATTAGCAACTTTTATTCATAGTAGATTAAAAAAAATTTAAAGTATATAATTGGGGTAAATATACATGTCTAGGTAGAATATTAATATAAGTATTAGCTATTATAATTCTCAAAAAAAGTATTGGCTATTATGATTGATTTATTATACTTATATATTTATAAAAAGTATAAACATAAAAGAATGATTAAATAGTTAGATAAAATAAAATCACAAACAAATTATGAAACATATATGTTAAAATTTTATGGGAAATTTGCTCTCCTACCAAAAACCTTATGCTAAATTTGCGGAATACCAAAACACATAAAAACCGTTACTGTATGTCAAGTAAGTTTACGCATGTACCCTTTCGTTGCATCCTCTCACTTGACCTCACCCAACGGGTAGCAACAACTATTTCGAGGGGGAGAAAGTAATAGATATGGTAGATTCACCATATCTTCTGTGTCAGAACTTTCGGCGTAGTTAGCGAAGAAAGCAGAGCATTTCAATTCTACTTGTTCTTACCTAAACATAGAAACAATTCTGGTGCCAAAATAAATTATACCAAAAGAGATTCCCGTATGGAGGAGAGCGAAGGCGGAAGGAGGGCTCCGTGTCGTCTTCCGGAACGGATTTTCGCGGTCGGTGAAGAACCNTCTTCTGTGTCAGAACTTTCGGCGTAGTTAGCGAAGAAAGCAGAGCATTTCAATTCTACTTGTTCTTACCTAAACATAGAAACAATTCTGGTGCCAAAATAAATTATACCAAAAGAGATTCCCGTATGGAGGAGAGCGAAGGCGGAAGGAGGGCTCCGTGTCGTCTTCCGGAACGGATTTTCGCGGTCGGTGAAGAACCCGCCGGTGTTAGGGTTACGCCGTATCACAAGGCCGACGGGATTAGGCAAATCCTCAACGCACTTACTGCCGATGAAATTGAAGAGGTTAGGGGTTCTCCATTTGGGAAATTGGTGGAAATCGCGGATAAACCAAGTTTTTCAGGCCGGTTTGGGAGATACCTATTATCAAGACAACTCAAGGTCATGAAGAAGCATGAATCATGGTTCTTGTTCGCCGGAAAACCGATTAGGTTTTCCATTAGGGAGTTTGCCATGGTCACCGGTCTCAACTGCAAACAGTTTCCAAATCAACCAAAAAAAAAGAGAACCAAGAACTCCGTCGCGCAGAAGCCGTACTGGTATGAGCTTTTTGGAACACTCACCAACCTACCTGTTTCTTCGGTTGTGCGGATGCTCGCCAAAAAGACGGTGCTTGATCGTGAAATGAGGTTAAAGTATGCATACTTAGCAATTCTCGCTGCCGTTGTACTTCCGACAACTCATTCGCCACGTATCTCACCGGAAGCAGCGGAGATGATCAGAGACTTGGATGCCTTTTTTGCGTATCCATGGGGAAGAGTCTCATTCAACTTACTCATGTCCAGCATTAAGGAGAGGAAGGAGGTTTCGCTTTCACAAAACACCATTGCCCTCAAGGGTTTTGTACTTTCACTCCAACTTGTTATGGTTGAATGTGTACCAGCTTTGACCGAAGTGGTGGAGGATGGAAGTTCATCTTCTTCTGAAGATGATGAACATTCACATGTCAGTGACAAAGGGTCCAGAAAAAGTATCAGCCCGGGCCACGCAAGAGACATTGATGCGGCAGGCAAGGTATTTGCTAACTTACTTTGTAATTGTATTTCTTTTTTATTGGTTCACATTCGATCTTTAATAGTCTTTACAATGTTGAAGAAATGTGGCCTTTTTAACTTAATTGCAGGCTGTAGTGCAGTCAATAATGGTTGATGCAAATGGTGAAACTAATTTTCATCCAGACTATGAATGGTCAGACGATGAAGATGATGTTGCCGTTTCTAATATGGTCAAGCTAATCAATGACCACCACACTTTCTTCCCGGAATACTTTATTGGTGGCTCAACAAAATTTGATGTCAGTAGGATGCGGGAAGAGGGTAAAGCAGATACTCAAAACCGGAAGACTGGGAAAACAAAGGCTAGTACTAGTTGTCAGAGTCATGAAGGTTTCGATGTTGAATTGCTTGCAAATTTGGTTAAAGAAAAACTCAAGGACGAGTTTCAACTGCTTCACAGCAGCTTAGCTACAATGCAGGAATCTCTTACAGGATACACTGATACGATTCTACTTAATTTCAGCGAGTTGCATGGAGTTGTAGCTGATAATGTCGCGAAATTGACAACTCTAACCGCAGAGATGCAGAACTTTACTGCGGCCGTCCCGGGGTTCTCTGTTCACAGGGAGACACCACGTCCAAACGTGGTTGACGCCAGTACTCAAACCATGCCTGACACTGCAAACATTATATCAGACGCAGTTATGTTTGCCAAACGTTCAACTAATGGTCAGCCAGATGTAAGTTTTATGGTAGCCGGGTAGAATCATTGAGCTACCACAAAATATTAAGTATTGTTTCTCTGCTCTAATGTTCTCTTATAATAGGTACATGACACAACCTTTGAGACAACTACAAAGAAGACTGCGTCCAGTGGTAAATATTCCCAAGGAGGAAATGCGGATGATCAATCTGAACCTCTACGCACTCAGGCTAATCAATACGTGGTATGTTTACTCACTTCAAACATAACTTCGTTTGACTGTGTAGACAGAAATATATTAACATTCATTTCTCTCTTTTTCACATATGCAGAACCTTGATCCCTCTTTGTTGTTTCCCAACCCAACGTTCTCGCTTGGACTGACACAGGAGGAACGTGTGGCGGTTGGAAAGAACGATAAGACTAATACTGCTTCCGATCATGACGCTGTTGCTGAGGTTCAAGGTGACCCTATTATTGAAGAACCTGACATAGGCTTCAGGAGGGGGAAGAGGCAGAAGGTCCCAACGAAGGTGCTTATGGGTGAGTATGAATGTGATAAGAATTTTCTAAACCGTGCGAGACAGGCCGTTACAGATGCAATCTATAAGGGACGGCACATAGATTACGCTGCTAAGTATGCTTCTTTACTTGACAAGATGAAGACCCCTTTGTAAGTCCAAACTTTATATTTCTAAAGTTTTTTACATAAGTAGCAAAATGTATTATGTATTTTTTAGCCGGCTAACTTGTTTTGCTTTTTTCGAAATGTGAAGTTCAATCGCAACTGTGGGTGGTGATATTAATAGCACTGAATTTCACGCGATCGTACAGCGATCCACTGACATATCAAATAAGGTTGTCTCCCATACTAATGTAATTATTATGTTATGCAAATCATGTTTTTTTCTTTTATTATGTTGTCTGAACCTAATAACTTTTCAATATTCTTAACCAGGTTCTCGATGTACTTATGTGCCACACAAGTAGGTTGTTCCAGACTCACATGTCTAAAGATCAACACCCCATTTCAGTGTTTATGGATACGAAGTTTGGGTCTCTGTTGAACAACTTGTACTCAAAGTTCTCCAAGCTCTCTAGAAAAGAAAACTTCAAATTTTCAGATGATGTTATTCGTTTGTTTCGCCAGCACCGGTCCAACGCTGAAGCAGTACGTTTCTATTTCCCATTCAATCTTGCTGGGAATTACTGGGTAGGCATATGTGTCGATTGCTCTAGCTGGGTGGTCACTGTTTTGGACTGCAACAATAGCCTTCGAACAGATTACATGATGAACAAGGATATAAGACCCATTGCCCTTATGTTTCCATATCTTCTCAAGTATGTCGGTAGAAACGTGGGAGTGAGAGAGGGGAAACCAATGGCAATTGAAAGGCCCCGGTGCATTCCACAGCAAAAAGAAGTTAGCCATTCTGCTCTGACATCGGTGCTGCTCATCCAAGGCCATGGTGTAGGTGGGGTTGAAGCTTGCAAATGTATTACCCCTGATGTCCTTGATACCCACATTGAGCGTCTTCTCGTATCCCTCTATGAAGAAACAATTGGTCTCCTGTGATTTACCCATTGATGTTATGTTGTGTTATCTCTTTTAACATATTCCTTCCCGTACTGTCAGCTTAAGGTTAATTTGCCCGAACAATATTTGAATCTATGTATGAATGTTGACAATTGTAGTGTATTTCGTTTTACCGTCCAACGACTTATTTATCCTAACTTCTAACTATACTCTAGGTCCTAATTGTAGACCATAATCCACACAAAATTTGTGTGGACCTCGTTCTCTATATGTCCCACCTTTTAACTGTACAATTAGGTCTAGAGGGTTTATATAAGGTGGCCCCATAAGTCTTTCTTCTCATTTGCGGCTATTTTTTTAGTGAAACAACCTCTATTGGCGGCTTCTTTGTGAGGGAAACAACGTAGACTTCATCCAGGTTTATTTCACAACCCCGTCTTCCAATTGCTTACCTCATCTCAGCCTCCATTTTTTATCCCCCCCCTACTATATAATCTTGCAGGTTGAACAGATGAACCTAGGGTTGGGTGAGGGTATACCCCGCAGGTGTCCCTGCGGCGCATCCACAGTTGTCCTAACTTCTAAAACCAAGGACAATCCCGGTAGAAGATTCTACAGATGTGGAGTAGTTTTTGGTGAGAACCATTTGTTCAAATGGGCAGATGAGGCCCTCTTGGAGGAGATTGAATTGATTTCTCAGAAACATGAAGACATGGCCACTGATTTGACTGAAATCAAGGAACAAGTTGAGGACATGAAGAAGGATATCGCAGAGATTGTTGTACTCGTGTCCTCTATTTCAAAAAAATGTCGCAAGTAAACTTAAATATGTGGTGAAAAATTTGTTTTTATCACTAAGTCTTACCCAGTTTCTAATTGTATGTCCAATGTTGTTATTGTTACTAAGCACTATATAAAGGCTTTACCTATAACCTGATCCGGTTAGATTATGTGTAACTTTTGGTTAAATAATACTATATCCGGCT